TCTCCTCAAAAGGAAAATCTGGGCCATGCAAGGGAACTATGCATTGCAATCCCTAATATCCCACATTGGCTCACCACCAGCAACCCTTCCAAGGGTAAAATAGCTCTATCACAATGGTACCCCATGAAGGGCTCAGTTTAGGGCCTAAATAGAGAGAGACTTGTATTAAAATATGTATGTATGTATGTATGTTGTGGTGAACAGTGATGACAATAATGTAGCAGCTTCTCCCCATAATATCCTCAGGAACTGCCTGTAATCTACATGACCAGGCAGGCTAGTGATGCTTATTTCAGTGCTAATTACAGCTCCATCATTCTCATCAAGATGGTCTGGAGTATGGCGGCACCATAACAAGTAAACTGTACTGCTGGGCAGAGAGGAACCTTTGAAAGATGTTGACACTGCAGGTACTCTGCACTGTTTGTACCAGAATCCCAGGCTTTGTGGGCAGGCCATGTTTCTAGCTCTTCCTTCATGGTGGCAGTTTCCTTGCTCAGTCAAGAGAAAGGAGGCTATTTCTGCATCCTCTGCCTGGTGCACGTTTTGTTGCCCTATTTTTTTACCCCCTTGCTGTGGCTTTTCCTACAGAAGGGGAGAATTTAGACCCAGAGTTGCTGAACCACTTTTGATAGTGGGAGTGCTATGAGCCATTGAACCAAACTATAAATCCTGGCTACGTCTACACTGGCCCCGATCCTCCGGAAAAAGCGCCCTTTTCCGGAGGGTCTTATTCCTACTTTGAAGTAGGTCTTATTCCTAAGTAGGAATAAGACCCTCCGGAAAAGGGCGCTTTTTCCGGAGGATCGGGGCCAGTGTAGACGCTCTTTTCCGGCTTTTTAAAAAGCCGGAAAAGAGCGTCTACACTGGCCCCGATCCTCCGGAAAAAGCGCCCTTTTCCGGAGGGTCTTATTCCTACTTTGAAGTAGGTCTTATTCCTAAGTAGGAATAAGACCCTCCGGAAAAGGGCGCTTTTTCCGGAGGATCGGGGCCAGTGTAGACGAGCCCCCTGTGTATAATGTACCGGTAAACCATTTCAAGTCAGGGGATGCTTCAGCACTCCCACACCCCTAGTTTCAGCACCTCTTTTTAGTCCTGTATTCTAATATATCTTTACAAAATCCTAACTATGAAAAAGGGGGTTGCATGTTCTAGTAATATCTTTAGTTTTTCCACTCATTCAGGTTTTCTGGGTGTGTAGTTTGCCATTATCTCTTTTAAGATAAGAAAACTCAACTTTATTAGTGCAAGTTGTGAAGATAGCAGAATTCTCTTTGGACAGTAGTGATGAGAAAAAATGCATTATGAAAAATTGAATCATGGATCTGCTATACATGTTTTTCCCAAAGGCAAGATAATACTTAAGCATACCTAATATAAGCACAGCTGTGCTACAGAGCTGAACATAAATTATCATTGTTTTATTAAATCCAAGGAAAATGCAAATCCTTTGTTATTGCTTAAATTTATTTCTGTCAATGTCAGGTATCTATCATAAGATCTATCCTTCCATTATTCGCTTGGTTTTCTGGATAGCATTATTATTGTTTTTGTTCAAATATATTTTAAAATATCTCTGGCATACTATAATAGTATCGTTGTAACACTGTACATTTGCAGAAAAAATCAGCTGTAACTATTTCACTAGGATCAGAAAGTACAATTAAGAGCACACTCTCTGTCCAAAGTATACACACTTACAAGTAGGCAGAACATGGGTTTCATATTCTGTTGGGGAAAAAAAACTTGTTGAGATTTTTGACATTTTTTCCCATGCTGAATCAAAACAAACACTTGGAAACTTGAAGATTTTCATGAACCTAATGTTTGAAAAAAAATTGGATTGGGTCAGTTAAAATATTTTGCTTTGATAATTTCAAAATATTTCATTTCAATTTTGACCTGTTGATTTTTTTTTATTGTAAGTTAACTTACATTTGGAAATGAAAATATATTTCAAACTGGGAAAAAATGAACTTTTTTTTTAGAAAAATACCAGAATGTTCCATTTTGACAAGTATGAAATTTTAAACAATGAAAACATTGTTTCAAAACAGGAAATATATTGAAAATGATCCTTTCCTGCCAACAGTTTCACCTTTGACAACTCAGTGTTTTCTGACTAAAAAGCATTTCGTTGAAAAATCCCAGCCAGCTTTCTATAAGCTGTGCCATGCACAGGGCAGCCAACAGATTTCACCAGGCCCTGGGCAATGTAAGAGGGCCAGTTTCAGGCCCCCAGAAAGGGTAGGGCCTCAGGCAGAAGGGGCGGGGGTGGGAGCTAGCCTTCCCCACCCATTCCTTCAGGGCCGCCCAACACGTGCTCCCCTACTTTCCAGCAGCAATTTATAGGACCTGTTGCCATTGTAATGGTGGCTGGGAACCCTGGGTCCTTTTAAATTACTAAGCCTCCGGACCGCTGCCTATTTTGCCCCCTCCTGTTAGGATTACCAGATAGTTTCACAAAAAAATACCGAACACAGCGGGGGAGGGGGGGGAAATTGGTTGAGCAAAAAATAAAAGTTGTTGACCAAAAAAAAAAAAGTCACCACCCCTTCAAATTCCCACGCACTCCCCCTTCCCCCGCCAGATACAGCAGGAGAAGAATGTCCCAAGTGGCCTTCCATCCAGTGTTTTCTGGGGTTTTTTACCGGACTCTTGGTAACGCTACCTCCTGATGGCAGACCTGGATATCCATCATTTTGCATTGTTCAGTCTGCAGAACCCAGTGCCCCCAGCCTATGTGTAAATGTGGGCAGGTGGGAATTAGGCTGTGTGTTTTCCATGCCCCTTTAGTGTGACGTCTCCCTTTCTCTCCTAACCTTTTGGGGAACATCTACATTGCAATAAAAAATCCATGGTAGCAAGGGTCAGGGCCTACGTCAACCGGCTTGGGCTCAGGCTGCAGGGCTAACAAGAGCAGTGTAGAGGTTCAGGCTCTGGCTGCACCCTGGACTCTGAAAACTGATGAGGGGACATAGTTACACTGTAGTGCAAGCCCAGGTCAGCTGAGCTAAGCTCTGAGACTTGCTGCTGGAAGGGGTAGATGCGTTGCAATTAGACATATCCCTTGGTGCTAGACCAGAAGAGATCTTGGGCTCCCTCATGTGTAAGTCCTGCCTTTGTGTCTGGCCTTGCATCAGGGGACATGGACGGAGAATAGTCTCCCACTTCACACCCACGCTAGGAACAGATAATCTGACATTCTACATATTTTTTTCAAAAGTACGGCTATATGTCTATGAAGTATGCTCCAAAATCCCTAATCCAGATAGGACAGCTTTGAATGTATTTATCAAGTGTAATTAACAACTTGATGTTCTACCAAATGAGAGTGAGTATATTGCAGATGGTGCTTAGGCATTTAACCACATTATGTAAATGTTAAACATAGATCCGTTTCAATCTAAATTAATATTTGGAGCTTTCAATTTACTGACAACATTGGGGTAAATATTTTCTTTGATTCACATGTTCAGTGCCCATCTAATGCTTGTGGAGATATACATGTGCCTATTGCAAAAGACTATATAATAATGTTGTACTTCTCATCCAAGGATCTCAAAGCACACTGTGACTATTAAAGAATGTATCCTTACAAGCCCCATTAGTGAAGAGAAGCTAGATCATTTAAAGAGAAGCTAGATAATTTCATGGAGGTTAGGTCCATAAAAGGCTATTAGCCAGGGGATAGAAATGGTGTCCCTGGCCTCTGTTTGTCAGAGGCTGGAGAGGGATGGCAGGAGACAAATCGCTTGATCATTGTCTTCGGTCCACCCTCTCTGGGGCACCTGGTGCAGGCCACTGTTGGCAGACAGGATACTGGGCTAGATGGACCTTGGTCTGACCCAGTACGGCCGTTCTTAGATTCTAAGAAGGGAGCCCATTTTACATATGTGGAATTTGAAGCACAGAGTTTTTAAGCAACCTGTCCAGTGTCACTCAGGAAGTCTGTTACTGAACTGGAAATAGAAACCAATATTCTTGAGTCTTAGTCTTGTGAGTGTATTCTACTGAACGTAGGGCTAGATGGGACCACAAGAGTTAGTTATCTAGTCCAGTGTGTCTCAACCTTTTTTTATATAAAGTATCCTTTTAAAAAAAATAAGTACTCCCAGTACCTACAGTTTTCAGACACACACAAAAATTTTCTACCATTGCAACACATTTGTTTAAACAACTTAATCGTAGCCAATTTTTGGGTGTAAAAAATACAAAAATAATAAAGTGCTGTAAAACTTAAAACAAAAATTTAATTATCTCCAAATTTCAGCTGTGTTGATGTACCTCTCCTCCTCCCCCCAAGTAACCCTGAGGGTACTTGTAGCACCGGTTGAGAAACACTGATCTAGCACTACTCCCTCCCCAAATACAAGATTTGTTATGTCTAAACCATCCACGCCAGATGGGTATCCAGCCTCCTTTTGAAATGTTCTATTGTCCTACTTTTCTTACTGTTAGGGAGTTTTTCCTGGGATTTAATCCAAATCTTTTATGCTGTAGTTTGAACCCATTGTCTCGAGACCTGCCCTTTATGGCAAGAAAGAACAGCTATCTGCCATCTCTTTTATGGCAGCCTTTCCAGCCTTATGCTGTATGTTGAAGTTCCAAGGAGAGCTATTGAAAGGATAACAGATATTAGACATTTTTCATGGAATATTTTGTGATAATTTTTTTAAAAAATAGTGACACTGGGATTTCTGGCCATACAGTGCAAAAACCTAAAAGGAATTAGATAAGCAAAAGAATTGTAATTGCAATAGCTTATAAAGCTCTGCATCCATGCTAGGTGATTTCTGTCATATTCCTGTTTAAGCAGAGATTTTTGGGTTGCAAAATCACATTAGTATTTCTTTCTTTTACAACTAAAGAGGAATTTTTCACCTCTTGCTGTTTTGAATTATTCCTTTATTGTACCTTGAGCTCTTAATGCCATGTTTTGTCTCACCTCACCTCACAACGTACTTCCAGGTTGATGTTCTTTTCACCTGTGTTCACAGAGAATGCAAATAAATTGGAAGAAAGTGCCAGAGGGATCTATATTCCTTGTCCAGAACACTACAATGGCTTCTGCATGCACGGGAAGTGTGAACACTCAACTAATATGTTGGAACCATCTTGCAGGTAACACTTTTTCTCCAGAGCAGGTGGTGATAAGCTGAAGATGTAGAGTTGCTAATATGTGTAATCTAGCTACAGCGTGGAAAATAATTATTAGGGCTATCAAGCGATTCTAAAAATGAAGTGCAATTAATCATGTAATTTAAAAAATAATCGTGATTAATTGTGCAATTAATCTCACTGTTAATAATAGAACACCATTTATTTGAATATTAGGGATGTTTTCAAATATATTGATTTCCGTTACAGCATAGAATACGATGCTCACTTTATATGTATTTTATTACAATTATTTGCATTGTAAAAAAACAAAAGAAATGGCATTTTTTCAGTTTCCCCATTGTGAGTACTGTAGTGCAATCTCTTTATTATTAAAGTCGAACTTACAAAAATAGAATTATGTACCAAAAATTCCATTAACAATAAAACAATGTAAAACTTCAGAATCTACAAGTCCATTCAGTCCTACTTCTTGTTCAGCCAGACAGATAAGTTTGTTTACATTTGCAGGAGATACTGCTCCCCACTGCTTGTTTACATGTCACCTGAAAGTGAATACAGATGTTTGCATGGCACTGTCATAACCAGCATTACATATTTACATTCCAGATGTGCTGCAGTTTTAATAGGCCCCTTTATATTTCAACTACCATTCCTGAGGATGTGTCCATGCTGATGGCAGGTTCTGCTTTATAATGATGCATATTCATTTTTATCTTCTGAGTCAGATGCCATCAGCAGAAGATTGATTTTAATTCTGGTGGTTTGGGCTCTGTAATTTCCACTTCGGAGTGTTGCTTTTTTAAGACTTCTGAAAGCATGCTCCACCCCTTGATTCTCTCAGATTTTTGGAAGGCACTTCAAATTCTTAAACCCAGGGTCATGTGCTGTAGCTATCTTTAGAAATCTCACATGGGCACTTTTTTTTGCGTTTTGTCAAGTCGGTAATGAAAGTGATCTTAAAATGAACAACATGCTGGGTCATAATCTGAGACTGCTATAACGTGAAATACATGGCAGACTGTGGATAAAAGAGAGACAGACGTATACAATTCTATCTCAATGAATTCAGTCACAAATTTAATTAATGCATTACTTTTAATGAGCATCATCAGCACGGAAGGGTATCCTCTGGGATGATGGCAGAAGCATGAAGGGGCATGCAAATGTTTAGCATAACAGGCATATAAATACCTTGCAATTCCAGCTATAAAAGTGATATGTACCCTCCTGTTCTCACTTTCAGGAAAACTTATAAATGAGAAACAGGCAGCAGCATCTCCCATAAAAGTAAACAAACTTGTCAGTCTTAGCAGCTGGCTGAACAAGAAGTAGGACTGAATGGGACTTGTGGTTTCTAAAGTTTTACATTGTTTTGGTGTTGAGTTGCAGTTATGTAACAAAAGGAATCTATGTTTGTAAGTTTCACTTTGTAAGACATTGCAATACAGTACTTGTCTGAGCTGCATTGAAAAATACTATTACTTTTGTTTATTTTTACAGTGCAAATATTTGCAATAAAAATAATAATCATGTAAATGAGCATGGTACATTTTAGATTCTGTGTTGTAACTGAAGTCAATATATTTGCAACATGTAAAAAAAACCCCAAATACGTAATAAATTTCAATTCAGATTCTATTGTTTAACAGTGTGATTTAAAACTGCAATTCATCATGATTAGTTTTTAATCACAATTGATTTTTGAGTCAGTCGCATGAATTAATTTGTCAGCCCTAATCATTATTAGCCAAAACCTCTTGTTTGATGGAGCACGTTCAACTTAAATTATGCAGGGCAATTGCACTGACTTATGCCACAATGTCAATGTATTATAAAAACATGAAATAGCCTTAAAGCCTGTTTTAATATTTTTAAAAAATGCACCAGTTTTTCCTTAACTTGTAGCATTGAATCTGGTAATCCCTGATATTTCCACAATGGGCAACCCTTTATAAATGAAGAACTGGGTGAAAAACAACTTCCCCTAACAGCTGTGTGTTCAAGGTTACTTAAGAAGAGGTTTGGGGTGGAGGAGAAAACATTGCCCAGACTTCCCTTCAGCAAAGACAGTTGCATTGAGGTGATTAGAATTGCACATTAGCAGCTCCTACGTCTGCCAAGTCAATGTGGTCGGGGCACAGAGATGAAATGCACATTTGCTGCTGTAGTTTTCAGGCATACAAGGCTGAGAGCTTGGTCATCAGGCAGTTCTTTAGAGGCTCTCCATGGAGGATATCTCCTCCTGCAGATCTGCCCTAGATCCTGTGGTCCTTTTTGCTCTTGGCTGCCCCTTTTTCTCCATTCTTCCACCCAACCGTACAGTGTCCTCTCCTTCAGCTGGTTTCCAGGCTTGGAGGTGGTTGGCACAGAGAAGTGGTTACATGCCTCCTCTTGCCCTAACCTGGAGTACAAAGCTCAATGAGGACCACCATCATCTCTAAGAGAAGGTCCAGGCAAACTCTCCAAGCTTCTTATGGATGCTATTGCCATTGACCTGAACGGTTTTCTTGTGATGCTGCCCTGCTCCCATGGCCAGCAGCACAGGCGCAAGTCCAGGGGAACAACTAAATTCCCCTTTGTGGGAATTCAGCCAGGGAAGAAGCAGGATGGGGAAACACCCAGAAGAGAGGCAGCCGTTGTGTGGCAGGGTGGGCGGAATAAACAGGGATTTTAGTGGCTGTTGGGCAAATAAGTAAACAATATGTTTGTTTGTGGGGCCACCCAATCACAGTGCAGATGGCACCCTTATTATTGTACATCACAATAAGGGGGTCATCTGCCTCAGAGTCCAGCGCTAGTTGGAGATTGGAGAATACATTTTAGCAAGTTCCAGCAAGGGAAAAATACCCAGCGTGGGTTATTTTTAGAATTTGCATCCCAAAGCGCAGGGAGTTCTAGCTTCGCTGGGATATGAGGCTCTCCAGGAAGGGTCTCAGCACCGTCTCCTTCCATTGAGGGCACTTGGAAGTGGAGTTGAGGGCACTTGGGCCCTCTCAGGAGCCCTTCGGCATGAGTCAGGATTTGGCCCTACAGCCCCTTGTAACAAGCTTCTCTCTCAGACTTTGTCGCACATTAGCAAATAAAACATTTTACCAACCCCTGCGACCACTTTGCATTGCTGTGGCACAAAGGAAATGTAGACTCAGCAGGCCTGGCCCCCAGAGCTCTTTCCTGCACAGGAACGTCCTACAACAGAGCTACCGCAGCTACTCCTTCACCTCTCTCGTTGCCAGAGGAGTGCATTGCTGTACGCGCGCATGGTTGGGGTTCCCCTGAACCCTACTGACTCCTGCTTGGCCAATGGCTCCTTGGCCACATCTGCAGTTGGTGCAGCTGGCAGCTGCATTCAGGAAGCTCTGCCCTGTGCCTGGGGACCATCCTGGTGCAGAGCAGTGCAGGGTTGGGGGAGCGCAAAAGCCAGTACATGTGAAACCAGATACATTCAGCTTTCACAGGAGGTCCAGACAGTTCATAGTGAGGGTGAGTAGCACTGGAATGAGCTACCAAGGGAAATGGCAGACTCTCCATCTCCTGAGGTCTTCACATCCAGACTGGTGGCCTTTGGGAAGCTATCCTTTAGCCAAATGTAATGTAATGTAATGGCCTGTGATTAGCTCCCCTCATGGACCTGTCTGTCCATGAACTCTGTGAATCTATTGGCAATTCCCACTGCAGAGATGGGGTCGAGGAGCTAAGGAGACAGCTGAGCCTTGGGGCTAGGGTTGTAATAGCAGCTGTAAAGCAACTGGACTTAGGGGTGCAGGGGGTCACTGTGTTCCCCTCCCCCAGCACCTGAGCAACAGGCCTGGGGCATGGTCCAAACAATCAGGCTCTATGAGATTTGCAGGATTTTGCCCTGTATAGATAGTGTGGGGAAAGAAATAGCCAAAGAGTAAAAGAAACTGCCCTAGAGGCAAACAAGTGTCAGCAAAACCAGATCTTTTTCCAGACAAATGTGTTGCATAGATTGATGGAAAATGTTAATTAAACCAATGCCTGATTTACCTGTGAATCAAGGAAAAGCAACTATCCCTGCACAGTCCTCAGCTGTTCAGCACACTCATTTATTTCTCCTACCCTTTGTCTCATAGACTAGAAGATCTTTAGGACAGAGACCATCCCTTACGGTGTGCTCATTTATAATGCTTAGCACAATAAGGTCTAGATGCTACCTTCATCCAAATAGTCACCTCATGTATAACATCCAAGTCAAGGTTCCCTGGAAGCTGAGTGTTTGGGCGGCCACCCAGGAGAAATTCAAAGGTTGCCCATCTGATGAACAGGGTGTCCACAGTGCTAGCATCTGGCAGCCTGTGTTTTTAGTGGTGGTGCACATCCACAGATGCCTTGGTGCATCTAACAAAATGTATTCCATATGTGGATGGAAAAATTAGAGGGAACATTGATCCATATGTATCTCATTTCCCTCGACATTTGGGCTGTGTCTAGACTGGCCAATTTTTCTGGAAAATCAGCCGCTTTTCCGGAAAAACTTGCCAGCTGTCTACACTGGCCGCTTAAATTTCCGCAAAAGCACTGACTTCCTCCTGTAAGAAATCAGTGCTTCTTGCGGAAATACTATTCTGCCCCCGTTCAGGCAAAAGTCCCTTTTGCACAAAGCTTTTGTGCAAAAGGGCCAGTGTAGACCGCTCAGATTTGTTTTCCGCAAAAAAGGCCCGATTGCGAAAATGGCGATGGGGCTTTTTTGCGGAAAAGCGAGTCTAGATTGGCACGGACGCTTTTTCGCAAAAAGTGCTTTTGCGGAAAAGCGTCCGTGCCAATCTAGATACTCTGTTCCGAAAATGCTTTTAACAGAAAACTTTTCCATTAAAAGCATTTCCGGAAAATCATGCCAATCTAGATGCAGCCTTGGAGTTTGTGAGATAAAGCAGTCCCTGTGTGGTCTGGAAGTATGATCTGTATCCCATTTTATTTTAAAAGCCCACACAGTGTTTGCCAAGCAGTACGTTCATATACAGAATCTCCCTCTCAAGTTCTAATCAGGGGCATTGGTTGTCCCTCTGCTAAAAGGGAAGCAGGAAGTTTAAGTAACAGGCTAAACATCTTTCATTACAGGTGTGATGCAGGCTACACTGGACAACACTGTGAAAAAAAGGACTACAGCGTTTTATATGTGGTTCCGGGGCCAGTACGGTTTCAGTATGTCTTAATAGCAGCTGTGATTGGAACCATCCAGATTGCTATTATCTGTGTAGTAGTCCTCTGCATTACCAGGTCAGTACCTCTGTGTTTCTGGGATAGAAGAAAAGGGATTGTTTATACCCACTTGATTCTCCAATTACACAGACTAGTACATTTGCACTCGGATAACAAATCCCACTTATTTCACCAAAGTAGGGGATAGAATTGTTTGGCGCCTGTGCTGATTTATCAGTCACAAGTGTATTTTCAGTACCAATTTAATCAGATTTAGGCCACACCATCCAGCAAATGAAGTTTCACATTCTATAGTCAGATGTTTGGCCAAAATATTGTTTGTATAAATAACAGGAATATAAATGAGGCCACTGGATCAGCAGTTACTAAATACAATTCTTTCTAGCTGTGTCTGTGTTTTTAAAGAACCCATTGTTGTAGCACCATTCCAGTAAAGCACTTTGGCATGTGCATAACTTTAAGCCAACGGTAATAATAAGCCACCGTGTGCTTTGGATGGGGACCTAGATAAATATCCAGGTGTAATGTTCCATTTTTGTAAATGAAGAAGTGCTTATTAGCATGGAGCCTGTGGCCTTGAGGTACTTCAGAATTAAAGTGTGAAGTGTGTTGCTTTCCCTCATATCCACAGGTGCTACTGCACTTTCGCACTGACCCAGTTTCATTGCTTCTGGAAGAGCTCTGGCTGCCATATTTCTCCAGGCTTTTGTCAAAATCACAAGGTGAAACTCATTCAGCCCTCCTTTACCTCCACCGATAAATCAGACAGAAAAGGAATTTATTTCTAAACAAAAGATAGGAAAATAACACAGGGGTATTAAAGCTCTATAGAAAATAAAAGCTCTAATATGTCTCAGGGTCCATGTTGCACTGTCTGGTTAGACAACAAGTGCAGCATTTGCTCCTGGAATAGACAAAACAAAGATTATAAATCTTCCGTGGCCGAAATGCATAAAGCAAAATCATCAGCAGAAGCTCTGAGCTGCTTTCTGGCCAAGCTGAGTCCATCACGTCTACTTCCTTTAACAGTAGATGCCAGAAGAGGCAATGAATTATATTAAAGTGTTTTGGGGGACCACGGAGATCATTCATAACCAAAATACAGTGTACATAAAAAAGGAGATGGAAAAATAACTAAGAAATGGGAAAATGCACCATGTCATTTTCTTTTAGTGACTCTAGTTTTTTCACCTTCAGGCAGTCGTAACAGAGTAGAGGCAGAGGAGAAAAGATGAATCCTTCCTACTAAACAGATTTACATTAGAATCTACAGTCCTGCATTACAGATAATGTATCTATGGATATTTTTAAAACATATTAGCTCTTCCCTCCATGTTCTAATCTGGTTAATTTATAAGTTTTTGGCTTTTTTCTATAAAGCATATGATTATGGAGGCCAAACCCAAACTTCACATAACAATTTGGGCTTCATTTCAACTACAGACATGTAAGTGCCCTAAGACAAGTACATGCCGCTTGCAACTTCCACAGCTGATTTGCATAAGTATGGCATAGCACACATGGGTATATTGAGCTGAACTCCAGGACATCTCAATTCACAAACTCTTCAAAGTAAGAAAAACAATTAAAATACGCCTGAAAATCCTTATATGGGAGACGTAAAACTAGAACTAATCAGCTTATCTTATGGCCACAGGGGCCAAATTTGCACAGGGGCCGAATTTGGCCCTATGTGTCTAACACTTGCACCAGTGAGCCATTAACCACTATTATTATTAATCATGTATTTGTCATTATTCCAATCATGCATAGGCCTGTGGAGGGTTCCAAAACTGAGCATTTCTGAGAGGCACTCACAGCCTTTGGCCCCTACTGAATCTAGGAATCATGTTAGTGCTCAGCATGGGTCAGGACTGAGACACGGTCTTCTCACTGAACATCTTCCAACTTGAGAGACAAGACAAAGAACAGTGTAGGCGAAGGAGGGCTTGGAAATGGGAGGTTATGCTCAGCAGCGTCCTGCCTCTCAGCCCTTTTCCTTTGTGCTTTCCAGTACTTAGTTATGGCAGTTTATTTGTGCAAGTAAATAACTTGATTAAATATGAATGGATTGTGTGCTTTGCCTGCTAGGATTACATGGTGACTGGCTTAAGCCATCCTGTGAGCCTCAGCTGGCTAGAAGGCAGGAGGCCTGTGTTCTAGCTCCTCGTTCACATTGTTTTAACGGGCATGTTCACAAATAAACATGGGTCTCATGCTGAATGCATCACAAAGCTCAGGTGGCTGATGGAGTAAAGGACCGAGTGGTTCAGCTTATCACTGTGTTTATAGAACTAGACTCATTTCTAAAGACACCCGAGGACACTTCATTGAAGTCAGCCATGCGTAGCATACACTTAGCTCCCATGTGGTGCCATGCGTTACTAATTTTAGCAATAATAGTAGTAGTTGTATGATAGGTTCCTTGGTACCGGTCACCTTTCTTAAAATAACTTGGTTCCCATTACCTGGTAGCCATCTAGAGTTCCCTTTGCATTATAGACGCACAATGTGTATACGTTTCCTTATACGAGATTTGTTTCATAAGAGTAAGCCGAAGTTTCAACTCAGTCCAGTTGACTTTGGCCCTCATGACCAGCTAGTAATTATGTGAATTCACTGTGCAGTGACCCTTCTGGACCCTCTGCTTCCAGATAGACCATCGCTTCCACCACGTGTGGGTGTGTCTAGACTACCGGGGGGTTTTTTAAAAAAAAAAGTAGCCTTGAAAAAAGGGCAAACATTCTACGCTGTCACTATGTGTGTGACAGAGAGACATTTATGATCTCTATTACAACCCATGAAATCCCACTAACTCTACGGGGGTATGTCTACACTACCCCGCTAGTTCGAACTAGCGGGGTAATGTATGCATACCGAACTTGCTAATGAAGCCCAGGATTTGAATTTCCCGGGCTTCATTAGCATAAAGCCGGCGCCGCCATTTTTAAAAGCCGGCTAGTGCGAACCCCGTGCCGCGCGGCTACACGCGGCACGGGCTAGATAGTTCGAACTACGTAGCCATTCCGAACTATCTGTACTCCTCGTGTAGCCGCGCGGCACGGGGTTCGCACTAGCCGGCTTTTAAAAATGGCGGCGCCGGCTTTATGCTAATGAAGCCCGGGAAATTCAAATCCTGGGCTTCATTAGCAAGTTCGGTATGCATACATTACCCCGCTAGTTCGAACTAGCGGGGTAGTGTAGACATACCCCCGTAGAGTTAGTGGGATTTCATGGGTTGTAATAGAGATCATAATTTGGCCCAAGCCTGCATAAAGCAGTAAAGCAAGGGTGTACAGTACAGCTGGTCTTTTCCATCTCAGTAGGGGCTCTTGGTATTTGAGGAGCTTCTCTCTGAAGCCATTCAGTGAGTGGCTTATAATGTAAAAGAAAATGCAGGTACTGTAGGAGAAATGCTAGTTGCATTTAGGGTGTACAAAGAGAATGAACCCAGGTTCTGCAGAGAAACCATTTTGCTCTCCTCTCACCCTGTTTAAGGATTTAGGAGTGTCTCGATTTCCAGTTTTCTCTTTTCAGTTCACTATTTTTCTATAAATACTCAACATAAAAAGAGACGATACGCTTTAAGAGGATATTTTAACAAGATGCTGGCCACCTGCCTCCTATAGTTAAACTTGCCTGACAGTTTCCATTATAAATCCCTACTCTGTTGCTAATAATTATTGGAAATCTTCTCTCTTGGGGCTGAAATTTCCTATGCTTGATCTCGAGTGAGGCTGGGAATGCTTTATAATCTTTAGTGACAAATTCTTTAAAAGAGCCTTCAGCAAAAACAGCTCGCTGTTAAAAGCTGAAATGTGTCATGAAAATAGCCCTTACTGCGTGTATAGCCTTATTTGGGAGTAAAATGGCTTTTGCTGTGTTGGGCAGGCATCCACAGCTAAGCTAGATGCGCTCTAATGGTCTGCGAACCCACAATTTCCATGGAAACCGAGAGCAGTGGTGGGTTCTTAGCACCTTTAAAACCATTCAGGCCAGAGAATATTTACTCCTCTAAACTCTCCAGGTCCACTTTGTAAATGTTTTGGGATTTAGGTGTCTAGAGAATGAGTGTGGGATCTTTCCTAATCTAGCTCCTACTACTGCTTCCTAAAAAAAATTAGTCTATTCGAGAAATAATATGTGACAGACATGGGTGGTTGGTGCAGCTGAGGCTGTGGGAGGCGGGTACCGAGCCCTACCTACTGCCTCACTCCATCTGCTGAAGCCCCACCCCCCACAGAGAGGGGAGGAGGCAGGGCAGCACACTGAGTGCATGCACCCCCACCCCTCACAGGGAGGGGAAGAGATGGGATGGGGCAAGCACGTGCATGCCTCCCTGCCACTCCAGTCCCCAGAGCACCAGGAGAGGGAAGAAAGCTCACAATGCAGCCCCGGCCCCAGAGCACCAGGGAGGGAGGAGTCCACGGGGCTCCACCCTCCCCAATGAGGAGCACCGGGAAGGCAGGCACTGGGGGTAGCAACACTCTGCCCCAGAAGGCCTACAGCAGGCGTTCTGGGGATTGATGTGTGGGTGGGGCTGTGCCTGGAAGCTTGGGAAGGCAAAGCCCTCCCCCGCCTAGACTATCGGCCACCTATGGTGACAGGTCAGATGTATTGTGCAGTGCAGGCCTGTTACAAGAGGGCATAGTTAAAATTGCACATGCAACCTTAGTTTTCTCTTAATATTGTTTTTTTGTATCAAGGATGATAGTTTTCACAGGGAAGCAGAATATCTTTAACATGGTCTAATTGTTCTGGTTGCCACATTGTTTGGGAGGAAATCTAGTGCCTGGGAGGAAGATCCGTTTCCTCTTTGGCTTCCCATCGTCACATTATTTCCGAAGCCCTTTTGTTAAGCAAATGCCATGCTATGATTTGTGTTTCCCTCCTCCCTCCTCCCTTTCTTTCAGAAAATGTCCCAGGAGCAACAGAATCCACAGACAGAAGCAAAACACCGGACACTACAGTTCAGACAACACAACAAGAGCATCGACCAGGTTAATTTAAAGAGTGCATGTTTCCACAATGGCAAAAGTAACTGCAGAGAGCTTGGACTACAAAATACAGTATTATAGACAAAAGATTAAAACAAGATCTACACATGTTGCCTTGCATTTGTGGTAATCTACACCAATGAAAACATGTACTACAGCTATATTTGATTATGTATGGATATATTTGAAATAGTATACATTGTCTTGATGTTTTTCTGTAATGTAAATAAACTATTTATATCACACAATATAGTTTTTTTCTTTTTCATGTATTTGTTATATATAATAAATACTCAGTGATGAGAAAAAATTGGCCTTCTTAAATTTGCTGTGTACAGTCTCGGGATATTATAAGTGGACACTAACAAATATCTTTTCCTATTCCAGTTCTAGTGACACAATATTAGCCTCTGCTGAACTCAGAGGGCAGAGTTTTGAGTTACTCCAGTATGTAGGGACATGATGATTATGAGAAAGATGGAAGAATAGCTTACTCTATTCTGATTAGGCATCAAATATTTCAGATCTTAAAGGTAGCTTTATTTCCCTTTGCCCCCATCTTTACTGCCCCAAGGCACAGGAGTCTTTGCCATCAAAATTAAATCATAACTGATGGGGAAATGGAAATTCTTTATGACTATTATAGGAAGGTGGGGAAGCTAGGGTTTCTATGTGAAAAGGATACGGTAACTGTCAAGGTGAACTTAAAGCATACATATTAGCATGGCATGAAGCAATCTTCAACTCTTGGTCAGTGAAAAATTGCTTCTTTTTGATGACTGAAAATTATTAGCTAAAAAAAGTTAATAACATAATCATAGCAGAAAGTCAGCGCTGTTTGTTCCTCGAGAACATGTTGATATAATGTATTTTTCTTCAAGGAGAAGGTGAAAACCACTAACAAAATATCTCATGAATAACTTTATAGATGATCCCACTCCATTACGTGTAATGGAACTCAGAGTGTGATTATACCTCAGGAAAATAGGGAAATACATTCAGTTGCACAGCCACATGATGGACAAGAAATTAAGCTATTCCCATGGCAGCCTGCGAACCTTTGAGACTTACGCTGTAAAATTACCCACTTTGTAAAACAAAGCAGAACCATATTGGGTTCTGACAAACTGTGAAGACAAAGAAGGTTATGTTTAAAGGTCAGCATCTGCTAATCTTACTCATGGTCAGTAATGGTTTTCTCCACAATACGCTCCCATTTATAAATGGAGTAAGGTACAGTTCACCATGAATAAGGGTACAAGAATCAAACCCTAGAGAAAATGCAAAACAAGGATCCTCATATACGCCTGCCCAAATGAATTTAGCCTTGGCCTAGAAGAAAACACTCTGACAAGGATTTCACCATAACAAAGAGCTTATTGAGTCACATTCATCCTTGTTAACTCCACTGACTTACATGAAGGGCCCTGTTTTGGACTTTATTAGAGGCACTAAGACTATTAATGTGCAGGCCTCCAATACTACATCATTTACTTTAGTGGCATGCCTTGTACTAACAGCAGACCTGATGGTCACTGGTTTCAGGACGGACCATTAGACTGGATTATTTCTATGGCCACTTAGGCATAGTCACGAGTTTGTATTACTTTTTTCACTTTTCCTAAACCTTTATAATTAAAAGTCTCAACAGGGTTGGCATGTTAATCTGTAACATTAAGAAAGCGTGAAGTCCTGTGGCACCGTAAAGACTAACCAAAATATATATATATAATATATATAGTATTACAAGCTTTCATGGGTAAACCCCACGTCTATGGTGCTTTATAATTAAATTCAGCATGTGACTTTAAGGGCTTTGTGTTGTGTCTAGTTTTTTAAAAGTTAATAAAACAGGTTGACCATGAGTATCTACATTGCCTGGTCTCTGCTGGTGGGAGGGTGTATTCGGTTCGGTTATTGTCACAATCAGAGGGGCAGATTCTGAAGTAAGGTTTTTTTCAGAGTAAATGGCTGGCAGTTTGCTCTGTTGTGGAGCTGCTGTCCTCTGCAATGTCCCGTCTGATCTTTTGCATCCATGTGTGGAATATAGTTTTACGTGCACCGAGGCATGTGCGAATGTGCACATGCAAAACCCAGCTGTGGCCGCTCTGATAATCAGATGGGCAGCATTTGAATTTCTCCTGAGTGGCCACACAAGCGCACAGCTTACAGGGAACACGGGTCCTCCGAGGAACCATCCGCTTCAAAAAATTGTGGGGTTTGAGTTTTGGTAGGGCTCGACTTTTTTTTTTTTTCCTGCATTGCTTTCAAATAAAGCTTATTATCTGAATACTCAGATCAGAGAACTGGGAATTTCTTGAGCAGCTTTCACTTAATGAGATTAGAGGAGGGAGTGCTGGCATCTGGTGCCTTTTGTATCATGCACGTGAGTGATGCTCCGTCCTGAGCTGGGACTAATGGAAATGAGCTCTTTTGATATTTTGCAGCTTGCCCACTGTCTCTGCCATCTAACGCTGCACAAGTTAAGAATGCAAATATGTGCAGCACGCATTGCTTACATTTTGAAATCCTACATTTGGCATTTTTCACAGGGTGATTTCACACAGCTGTGATGCATCAATAAAAGAGGCTGGCTAGCGGGACATATTTGTTATGCAGAAAGCATGGCAGGACATAGGCAATACAGAAACCTGTTTGTCAGGAAGAGAGGCTCCATGCTCATTGTCGAGCAGCAGGGTGATTTTTGTAGTGAAGGCACCAGTAGGGGGTTCGACTCCCAGGCCTGCCACTGGCCTCCCTTGGGCCAGTGATTCAATTTCACTGCATTTCAGTTTTCCATCTGTAAAACAGGTCTAATAGTATTTCTTTGTCATGCCAGTTCTCTTGTCTCTTTCATTATAAACTATTGGGGGGCTGGGACCATCTCTTGCCATGTGGCTGTACAGAGATAAGCACACTTGAGCCTAGTGAAGCTTCAACATGCCTCTGCAACACAAACAATAAGGATAATGCCACATGCATGGGATAAGAGGGAAGGGCCTTTCGTGGATTGATAACTGGCTAAAAGACAGGACCCAAAAGCTAGGAATAAATGGTCAGTTTTCCAAGTGGAGAGAGGTAACTAGTGGTGTCCCCCAAAGGTCTGTCCTGGCACCCATTCTATTCAACTTGTTTAGAAATGAGCTAGAGAAAGGGGTAAATAGTGAGGTGGCAAAATTTGCAGATGATACCAAACTGCTCAAGATAGTTAAGACCAAAGCAGACTCTGAAGAGCTGCAAAAAGATCTCGCCAAACTAAGTGATTGGGCAACAAAATGGCAAATGAAATTGAATGGTGATAAATGTAAAGTAATGCACATTAGAAAAAATAATCCCGACTATAGATACACAATATGATGGGGACTAATTTGGCTACTACGCCTCAAGAGAGAGATCTTGGGGTCATTGTGGATAATTCGCTAACAACATCCACTCAGTGTACAGTGACAGTCAAAAAAGCAAATAGACTGTTAGGAGTCATTAAGTAAAGGATTGTTAAAAAAGGGAGAGACAATAAGACTGAAAATAGCTCATTGACTCTATAAAACCATGGTACGAGCACATCTTGAATACTGCATATAGGTGTGGTTGCCTCATCTCAAAAAAGACATGTTGGTATTGGGAAAGTTTCAGAAAAGGGCAACAAAAATGATTAGGGATAGGTCCCATATGAAGAGAGCTTAAAAAGACTTGGACTATTCATCTTAGAAAAGCGGAGACTAAAGGGGGATATGATAGTGGTCTATACAATTATGACTGGCATGGAAAACGTGAATAAGGACAAGTTATTTACTTATTCCCACAGTATAAGAACTAGGGGGTCACCAAATAGGCAGCAAGTTTAAAACAAACAAAAGGAAGTTTTCTTCACTCGGTGCACATTCAATCTGTGGAACTCCTTGCCAGAGGATGCGGTGAATAACTTATTTTGAAATAGCACGTCTACATTAGGGATGCCTGCCTTGGCCTAATGTTGAGGTTTTCCTGCAGTGTAGACGTGCTATCTTGATTTGGAGCCCTAGGAGGAATAACTTAGAATGGTCCTGGTGAGGGACTATTTCGAAATAGCAACAGTGAAGTGTCTACACATATACTTTATTTCAAAATAGCTATTTTGGAATAGGTGTTATTTCATGTGGAATGATGTTTAAAGAAGTCAAAATAAGTGGTCTGTTATTTTGAAATTTTTTTGAAATAATGGAATTGCTGTGTAGACGAGCACATTGTTATTTTAAAATAACATTAGTTAGGGGGCGGGATAGCTCAGTGGTTTGAAAATTGGCCTTCTAAACCCAGGGTTGTGAGTTCACTCATTGTAGACGCCATTTGGGGCAAAAGTTTATCAGGGATGGTACTTGGTCCTGCTGTGAAGGCTGGGGGCTGGACTTGATGACCTTCAAGGTCCATTCCAGTTCTAGGAGATAGGCAATCTCCATTAATTTATTTTATACAATGTCTCAGGTGTCTACACTGCACCATTATTTTGAGAGAAGACTGTTGGCTGCAAGGAACACTCCACCCTTCTTCGAATACCGTTTTTGGCAACCAAATACTGCTCTTACAAGAGCAATTGGGATGGGGTCTGAGTAAATGGGCTATGGAATCAGGGTATCAAAGATAGTGTTACAGGCTTGCAATATGATGGTAAAGTGCATTATCAAAATAGGGGCTCTGCTGGCCGGGGTTGAAGAAAGACAAATTCAGTCTTGGCTTGCCTGGAGATCTATGGCTTAAAGCTGTCTAGCAATGCCAACTAGTCAGATGTATTGTCTGGGTTGGAAAAGATGGGTAGCAAGTGGGAAAATGCCTTTGTTTGAAGTTCCAGTTAAGAACGAAATAGATGGGTAAGCACCAATATTCAGCCCATCATTCACTTCAACTGCCTGAAATGGTACAAGCTAGGGCATGTGCTTGTGCATTATAACACAAGAAAAGGAAGTTGGGTTTATAAATAAGCTGTGGCTAAGCTTTAAATCTTGTAAACCGTTCATGACACTCCCCTCCCACCCCGACACACACACAGGCCAGACATTTTTACTGTGGACCTTTTCCAGGAAGATATTTATGTCTCTAACTAAGAGATGCATGAATGCACACTTGCACCCAGTAATAATCATATACCATTTACATAAAATTATTGCGCCAGTCTAATTAAAATCATCTGAATCTGAGCGAGAGGCAAGAGCAGCTACTTTTA